GCTGGACGTAGATGGAGACAGGGAGACAGAGAGGATTTACTCCCTATTCAGCACATACATGACCAAACTGATCAAGATGCAAGGTTAGTAGATGATTTAGTGTTTTTAAGTGTTTGTGAGTAGGTTGCATATTTTCCATATTCATCCTCACTCTGCTGTCTTCCCCTGCAGAGGCCTGCGGCAGTAAGTCTGTGTACGACGGGCCCGAACTGGAGGAGTACTCCACCTTTGTCATCGATGACCCCCAGGAGACATACAAAACTCTGAAAGCGATTGTTTCCGCCGTGCAGACGTTGGAGCAGCAGCACACCAAGTACAAACGCGACAAGTTCAAGAAGACAAAGATAGGAAGCCAGTACGTGCTTTTTTGTGCAAACTACTGTTTTGTATTTGTAATTAAATTCAATGGAGGCTGAGAACTGTGGAAAACATGTTAAGTGTAAACTGTAGTTCAATCATTTCCCCCTTTGGGCCAGCAGATGGGGCAATCACAACGGCCTGTTATTAACAATTACAAAGTGTGTCAGAGATTATATAAAGCACTTTTTAAATAACACAATATTGGCATCATAGTTTTGGCCGCAAGCACCTGATTATCTTGACATTGATATTTTGTTATTTCTGTTCTATTTTCAGCCCCATACCTCCTGACACCAAATCAAAAACATGTTTCTTTTTGTGTCCTCAGGGAGCATCCGATTGGAGATAAGAGTTTTCAGTGCTACATCCGCCAGCAGTCCGAGAGCTCCACCTACTCCATCTAGCCCTGCGCACTGTTTCTATGATGCCCAGAACCAGCATATTTGTCTTCACTGCAAAACATCTTAACAATGCTCCTTGTCAAGTATTCAGTTTTAAAACTTAACGTTTCCTTAAAATAAGGTTTTAATTAACGTGAGATCATTTCACTTATTTCCAATGTTATGTATCCATGCCTTGAAGGGCAAGATATCACATTTTTAAAGACTTTTCCGGAAGCAAGTGATGCCGTTTTGGAAACAAGTGTCAAATGACACATTTATTTGATCAGCTTTAAGGAGAGTTATTTTTAAAAGTCAATACCAGACTGAGGGTGCTGTGCAGATGGACTTTGTTTTTGGCCAATGTTTCAAGATGCATCACTCCAAATCTGGAGAACAGACCTCAGATGAGCATGAAAAGGAATGGGTTGTGGAGGAAAGGAGGGATACGATGAAGACATAATCATACTCACATACATTAGGGTCTCCTGTCTGTGATCTGACGAGAGAACAAACGTTTTCACTGGACAGTTTTGGCAGTGACCAGTACGCACTTTAATCGCCTCCAAATCTATGGATGAACAAGCCTCGCAGCACACTTTCAAAAGCTTATTTTATCCTATTTTTATTTTGTTATTTTAATGGTTGATATGTTGAAATATTCCGTTGTATTTCACTCCAGAAGGAAGGGAGTAAGGAAGGACTGTAATTCTTCCCTTTTTTGAGTGGTTTTTAATTTTTGTCCCCATCCTCCTCAGGAAGGTTGTGAAGGTCGAGGGCACACAAGGGATTGTTGGGACCAAGCACAGCCAAGAGCAGCATGATTTTGTCAATGTTAGCAATCACTTTTATCTCATATTTTTTATCCTCATCATCCACGTGCTAACAGAAGTTAAGGGTTCACATTTACTCGTTTCGTTTGAAGCCTTGTCATGCTCCTGTTTAACAGTAACCTGTACACAAATCCATGTATCATTTTTATGTTTTTATCCTTAAGGGTGTCAAAATGAAGCTTCTCTTTTTTAAGTAGGACAAAATACACTGGATAGCTATTAAGTTATAAACTCCTATGACCAAAGAAAATAGATCATGTCAACATTTAGTCATTGTTTTGGGTTGATATCAGGGCCATATTACCCACCAGAGGCTCATGGTAAAAATGTGTTTGCTGTGGGCCCCTGTTTACAATCTTTGAATTTTACATTTGTGTAAAAGTACAAATATATACTGAAAGAAATAAAACATAATACACTCAGTGGCCACTTTATTAGACACAATAGGACAATAAAGTAGAGAGATCAGGTGTCTCTTTGAAATATTCAACCTTTACTCAGTTAATGATGTTACATTTGTGTAACATTGTCAGTGATAATTGTTTATTATAGAAGGCAGAAGTTAATGGTGGTGTTGTTCTGGACTAGATATAATAAAAGTGTTTCATAATTTGATTTGGAAGAAAAAAAAACATCTCTGAATACAATGCACTCTAGAACAACACCATCACTTACTATGACCTCAATTATACTCATATCACTTTAGTAACATATCCATGATGGTGTCACAAAGCCTGAACGTTATAGTCATAATGGAAGTGGTCTTTATGGAAGAAAAGTTATATTTGATTGCTTTTAGCTATACATAATAAAGTGGCCAATGAGTGTAACACATTTTGGAATGAATAACTTTAATTTACCAGAAACGATTTGCCACCTTGGCCAGTTGCCTGTTGGTAGCCTGAACATGGTTAACATGCACACAAATTGATGGTGGATACATATAAGTGATTTGCAGCTTCATAAAAAGACAGTGTATTTTGCTGCTTTCAAGAGGTGCTGATATTTGTTCCCGATGTCCATTTATTGAGCCTTGGCTACGATAAGCATTCATTCAACACACAAACTGCATGCAGACACGATATGTCTGCTTCACTCTGTGTTAGTAAAATGTTCAAGCTAAACTATCCCTTCATCCATCACAAAGCATAAACCATATGTTTGCACAGCTCATCAACACGGACAGCTTTTAGCTTTACTTCTAATTAACTGATATACTAACTTTTTAACCAGTCTTGTCTCAAGTTATGATTGTGAAATGGATAGTGTGTTACTGGTTGTGTTGCCCTGTTGGCTGCCTGATAATGTTAATTTCTGTTTAGTGAGTTAGCTCTGTCTTACTTTGGAAAAGCTGCACCCTGTATTTGAAAGTCTATTTATATGCATTCCTCTGAGAAACTGCCTGCTGTGAATCTTAGCGCTCAGCACCCCAACATCTGTTGAAGGTACGGGATTTATCGTTGTGAACCAGTCGTGTTATGTTCTACGCTTCCCAAAGGCAACCACTCTCTTTGGCATTGATATTCATCAGCACTCACTCTTGCCAAAACCAGTGCATGTGAAGTATAGTTGTAGTCACAGTGTATGTAGCCTGCACAGTCACTTCTGTGCGACCAGGTCACTACAAACCACAACACATTTTGTATTTTACACAAAAAAGTACCTGGTTCAATAGCCTCATGTGTGCTCTAGTGATCACAGGATCCTAAACAGTGCCAGTCATCACTTTTTTTAAATTCTCTTTTTGAAAAAAAAAAAAAAAAATCATTGTTTAGATATGTTTTTTTATAAACTGATACTGTTTTAAAAACAGTAAAGCAATTATTCCAATGACATCTTTTTCTTTGTCAAACGTGTTGATCTCTGAACTAAAGGGACGTTTCTCAACACTTTGACTCTGTTTTCTATCTTTGTCTTCATACAGAAATATTCGCTGTGTATCTGAACCGAATGACTGAGATGTGTGTGCGTTTCTGCATATATATGTGTGTGTTTGTGAGCGTGCATTTGTCGGCATGTGCATATGTGAGTGACATGACGGGTTGAATTGCCAATTGATTTACCCCAGTGTTACAGGTGGAGAGAGTCCCACTTCAAAACTTCTTAAAAAGAGAAAATCACTGCCTGTAATTATACTGAAGAGTGTAGTACTCTGGCCTGACATCTCCTCTTTTCTCTTGTATAGAACCACTGTTCCATATCAAGAAACCTTTGCCAATATATATTCCACTCATGTTATGTATGTAACCCAGTTCTTCACATTGATGACACATTAAGAGAGCAGCTGTAACCTCTAAACTTTGGTGAGTGTTACTAACTCTCCTCAGGTTTATGAAACTCAGCACTAAGTGTGTTATTTTGCGACTGAATTATAAGCCACCAAACATTTCTGTCACTCATCCCTAATTTGGTAATCCTATTTATTATCATTTCTGAAAAACCTTCCCAGAAACATCGGCTGGGGGGG